CCTCCCCGGATCCCTCCCGGCTGCGGGCGATGCTCCGCGCGGGCTGCAGAGGTCCCCGCGCACCAGGAGATGGATGCAGGAAAAAGAATTCCCGCGGGATTTCTCCAGGGGAAAAGCAGGAATTGTGAATTGACCCCCAGCCGAAGCTGCTGCTCCTTGGAGACAGGCCCTGACGGGATTTCCAGCGGAAATAACACAGAATTCCAGACTGGTTCGGGTGGGAAGGGATTTAAGAGCCACCCCTGCCCCAGCTGCTCCAGCCCCGTCCAGCCCGGCCTGGGGCACTGCCAGGGATCCAGGGACAGCCCCAGCTGCTCGGGGAGTTCCATCCCGATATCCCCCCCATCCCCGATCTCTGGCAGTGGGATCCACTCCCCGTGTCCCTCCAGCCTTGTCCCGAATCCCTCTGAGCTCTCCTGGAGCCCCTCAAGCCCTGCAAGGTTCTCGCTGACCCTCGTGTCCTTCCCTCCTCCGGATTCTCCAGGCTGGGAATGGATTCTCTCCAAGGATGGAGACTCCACAGCTGCCCTGCCCAATCTGCTCCAGCATTTGGCCACCCTTAAGTAAAAAAATACCTAAAAGATAAAATTTCTCCTCTGTTTAAAGGGAATTTCTGGGTCTCCACTCACGCCCTGGCCTCTTGTCCACTCTCTGGGCACCTCTGGGGAGAGTCTGGCTCCAATCACTGGAAGTTTGGCTGAAATTAAGATGAAACATTTGTTGTAGGGAAAATAAAAGTTATTTTGGGTCCTTTGAAATTATTTACAGCTTGAACCAAAACCAAAAGGAGTATTTGGGGGATGAAAAGCTGCAGCTTTGTTTGAGATATGCTTAAAATTAAACGCTTTGCCTTTTATTGAGCTGTGGCATTTCCCAGTTGAAATCTGCCTGCCTTTAATTAAAAAAAGCAGGGGACCACAAGAGCTTTCAAAGATGCATTTGCAAACCCAGAAATGTTTTATTTTGGGGAGAACAAGATGTTTTCATTGACTTCACTTAAAGAAAAATAAAAACAACCCTGTTTTGCTGGGACAAATGGGAAGGTTTCACTCTGGGTTGACCTAAAGAGGAAAAATCTTGCTTTTCCTAATTTTTTAATTGAATCTCTAAAGGCCAGAGCAGCTGTTTGCACAGTCCAGGCTTTGAGAAATCCCTGGGAGCATCCAAGGCCAGGCTGGATGGGCTTTGGAGCGGCCTGGGATTGTGGAGGAGGAGGAGGAGGCCACCTCCCATAGGAACCATCCTTGAGTTTCTGCTCCAGGGACGAAGTTTTTGGGGTGAAAATTGACTCTGCAGCAAGACAGCGCCGGCTGGGGGTTACCTGACCCCTCCACTTTAGGTTTGAAGCCTTAAATCAGGCCCCAAAAACATCTGGGAGAGATTCTGGCCCTGGGGCTGGTGTTTATTCCAAGTGAAAGCTCTCGTGATAAGGGGGCAGCGGGGCCTGACCTGCTCCCGGGGCTTGTTTACATCTCACCAGGAGCAAAACTTCACCCCCAGCCCGGTGCTGAGCAGCAAATCCTCCCTTCCCCGGCCTCTCACACTGCCCTGGGCACGAGAACACACGGAGAGGGATAAACAGAGCTGGCCAGGGAGCTTCTGCTGGGAGCTCGGCTCAGGGTGGGGATGGTTTGGTGGGGAGAAGATCCCACACCTGCTCATCCGTGCAGGTTCTGGAAGTTCCTCGTGTTTTCGGTTCCTCGGGGATGTGTCCAGCTCCCGTGGGGTTTTGTTGTGTTCCAGCTCCCGGCTGGGGCGGGAGGTGCTGCCGGGGGCCTGGGCAGGTGTCCAGAGGATGAGGATGTGATCCCACCTGGAACCCTCCAGGGCTGAGGGAGCAGCACCCATGGGCACGGCTGGGGCTTGTTCTGGAGCTGTTAGAGGAGTTTCAATCTGATTTGGGCTCAGAGGAGAGCTGGGGGGGACAAACTGCTTGGGATTCCCAGGAACAGGAATTCCTCTGAGCTGGAAACAGCTGGAGATGGGGAGAGGAACGGGAGAGGATTGGGAGAGAATGGGACAGGAATGGGACAGGAATGGGAGAGGAATGGGAGAGGAATGGGAGAAGAATGGGAGAGGAATGGGAGAAGATTGGGAGAGGATTGAGAGAGGATTGGGAGAGGAATGGGAGAGAATGGGACAGGAATGGGACAGGAATGGGAGAGGAATGGGAGAGGATTGAGAGAGGATTGGGAGAGGAACGGGAGAGGATTGGGAGAGAATGGGACAGGAATGGGACAGGAATGGGACAGGAATGGGACAGGAATGGGACAGGAATGGGAGAGGATTGAGAGAGGATTGGGAGAGGATTGGGAGAGGATTGGGAGAGGATTGGGAGAGGATTGAGAGAGGATTGGGAGAGGATTGGGACAGGAATGGGAGAGGAACAGGAGAGGAATAGGAGAGAATGGGATGGGAATGGGAGAGAATGGGAG